CCAGGATTTCCTTGGGGAAGTCTTAGTTGGGGACAGAGAGCACAGGTAGCTTTTCTGAAGTATCAAAGGCTGAGATCCTCCAAGGCATTTAGATGCCTTTGAAACTGTCTGTCCAGATGCTTTTAAAACTCCATTTTAGCCACTGTGTAACCTAGTACACAGCTAGGAAGACTTTTAAGAACTTAAAATATATATATTTATATGTGTGTGTGTGTGTGCATACGGAGACTATTTTCTCTTAGGTGTTGAAGTTTGCATTACTATTATGGTCCCCAGCAAACAAGTAAGCTACATGCAGAAAACAAGAGATAGGCCTGCTCATCATAGGAGCAAAATGCAAGATTTAACTTTTCCTTGGTGTGTTTTGTTTTTTTTTTCTTGCACAGACATTGCTGCAACACCCTTGTAGCCATCCAGACTAACCGTGATCTTTTGGTACTACTAGCCTTCAGGGAAAGAAGACTGCATGCTTGGTGCTATTTCTTAATCCTAATTCCTCAATTCTCTGGCATGGTTAGTGTTTAAAAACCTGAAAGCATGCATGCAAATGATTGCTGTGGAAAACCAAGCTCTCAAAACCTTTGTGTTTTTTGGGGTTTTTTTTAATAGTTCTATCTTGTGCTGATCTTTGTGGAATGAGATCCATGCCTTGGTTATAGGGAGAAATCACACAAAAAAAAAAAAAAAAAAAGGCAGGGAAACAAAGAAATAGAGTACAAATCACATGAGCCACCTTAATGGAAAAACTCTTTCTCAGGTATTGGTGAGTTGTAGATTTTACAGACTCATCTGAAGTTCAGATGCAGGGAGAAGCCAAATCTAGATGTAAATCTGAACCATATGATGGCAGATGTCAGTGAAAAAGCAGCAAGGTGGCAGGAGACCTCATGATGCCCGTGGCTTCTCCCCCTATTGGTTTGTATTGGACCTCAGCATATTTTGGGTGCAAAACCAGAGTTACTGGACAAAAGAGAAGATCAAATTTACCATGCTATTCAACATAGGCTGCGTAAGAGAGGTCTGTACTGGTAGCACTAAAACTGCTGCTGACTGAGACTTGCAGTGCAGCTCCTTTTTGTTCCCTGGACCTGCATTGTAGCAATTCTCGTTTTAGTGTGAGAGGAGCTTTTGGTGTGGCTCCTGTAGTGGAAACACACTCCCCAGTAGGATTAGCAATTGAAATGGCCTCCCTGTGAATGAATGGGAACAGACCTTTCCAGACAACGAGGACATTATCTTAGGAATATAGTTAGTACTCAGTAAACTGCTCCTGGCCTTAATCAATATAGGTAATTGGTTTCAGCTAACTTGTCAGCTAATTGAAAAGCAAGATGCACAGGCTCTGCACATTGGTTTTGAGTTCCTGTTTGGCCTCGGTCAGTAGTGACAAATGCTATATATTTCATGTTTATTTGGAGTCACTTGGCATTTTCTATTCTCTTGTTAGGACAAAACCATCTGTATCATGACATTCCTTTTCGTGACCCTCGCATGCAAAGCTGTCAGTTTGAATTGGCACCGTTGTTAAAATCACAGCAAGGCCGTTGCAAGCAAGCAGTTTCTCCTCAGTGTGGTTTTTCTGGATAGGAAATGCAGGTAGCCACAGTCCGCTGTTTTGTGCCCAAGAAAAGGATCTCCTCCTCCCTCACACCTTCTTGCACTAAGATGAATCTGCCTTGGTTTTGTGCTGCTCTGGGATGCCATGCAATATGCACAGTCTCCCCAAAACTCTCCTCTTGGAGCAGCCCTGCCTGGAAGCAACCTCCTCTAACACGTGCCTTATTCACATGCCCTTCCTGAGCTGGAAGGTATATACATACTGTGTAACACAGGGAAA